CATCAGTGATAACGTTTTCAATTTTGATTCTATTTCATTTAGAATTCTTGTTTAGATTTTATAGGCAAGTAAACGGATGATGATGAAAATAATGTTTCATGTCAACATTATATATATTAAAATTTAACCTTATGTCATTTCATTTTCTTCATGAGTATATGTTGTTTAAAACAATATATAAAATTTATAAATAGAAATACCCCTTAAAGCAAAAGTATTCATAGACTCTCCATGAACTGTTAAAATAAATTTACCACGCTCTTCCTCCCTTGTGAGTGTCAAGTGACCTGGAAAGTGGATCTTCAAGGTGAAAGTAGAACATGCAGCTCAAATTTTAAGAGCTTTACAGGAAAGGAAGAGAAAGAAAAAAAGTAAAAGGAAGGAAAACAGAAATAGCTTAGCAATTGAAATAGCTTCTATCTTGCTGTATAGTGCTCAGGGTTGAAGGAACTCATGGCAAACAGTCCCATGAGCAGTGAAACTAGCGCTGCCCTGTAATGCTCAGCTTTTAGGGCTGTGAGCTCACTTGGTCGGGCCAGCAGTCCGAGTCTTTCTTTGTATGTGCATCTCGGATTGTGGCCCTGGCGGTTGCTTCTTTCCAGGAGGAAAAGCACAGACTCTGAGACAGTCATGCTAGCACGTGGTCTGTCCACAGGGCCCTCTCATGTGAGCACCATGCGTATGTCCAGGAGTGAAGGCGTCCCCTTGATAAGCAGAACTAATACTCCACAGAGACACAAAGTGAAAAAAGCAAAAAATCATCCTTCTCAACAACACGTGTTTAGGAGAATACCTTTTCAAAAAACCAACATACACAAATAAATCCTAGAGAGTATGTAGTAAAATATTTTAACTTAATAAATACCTACTTATCTCTTGCCTTCCACACAACAGGCTTACAACACAATGAAACTGAAAAAAACAAAACTGCCAAGTTAAGGTACCATGAATTTCACATTAAACTGGATCATAGGGTAAAGCACAAACGCAGTCCAACACTACAACAAATTCTCCAGTCGAGTTTCCCGCATTTGGGGAAATTGCAGGGGTCAGCACATCCGGAGTGCAATGGATAAGCTTCGCCCTGGGAAAACCACCTTCGTGATCATGGTGTCTCCCCTGCCAGGTGAGTAGAACTGCTGCTCCGCCCTCCCCCACCAAGCCTCCTGCGTGCCTCACTGCACTCAGGCTCATTTGCCTTCATGCATTCTCGGGTCCTCCTAGCCCGTCCACGCAGCACATGCACTGGGCTGCCAAAAACGGCCCTAAGCTCTCTCCCTGGTCACAGGAAAATCATGAGGTTTCAACACCAGGGCTCCAACCAGCAGCCCCAGCGCTGCCTTATCTGCATAGGACACTCCTCTAGTGACTTCACAGGACACCCTTCCCTCAATTTGATGCCCGTACCCCTTCCTGCTTCCACACCATTCCCCCCACCCCCCACCCCCTCGCACTGGGGCATTGGCAGGGCAGTGATGTTGCCTCTCTCATTTCCTCTTGTTCCCTCAACCAATTGGGGACCGGGTGTGGAGGTCCCCACCTGGCCTCCCCGAGCTGCGGAGGTCCTCACCCACCCTGTGTAGGGTGGAGGGTCCCTGGGGCGCCTCCTGACACCTGGGTGCCCTTCTGCAGGTAAAGGCTATCACTGCGTGGAGCAGAGCCTTTGAGATTTCAGAGGAAGCTGGCTCCGCTCAGCCGTGCTGATCTGTGCGATGTAGTGGCCCAGTTCAAATATGAAGCTGTCCAAGATCCAGAAGAAACCTAGGCATCCTTAGGGAGCTAGAGCCTGTGCAAAATAGGAGCCCATGCTAAATCAGCCACCTCCTTCTAGGTAAGTACTCCACCCATGAGCTGCACCACATCCTGCTTCTCATTTTAAATCTTTAAATTTCCTAGTCGAGTGTGTTCACTCCAAGAACAAGCCAGGCGATCTAAAGGTGGAGCTCTTTAGGCTTCATGATATAAATGAGAAGATAACCCTTGAGCTATTTTCAACTAGTTATACACAACA